TAATCAAAAGGTCGTGTGAGTGTACACATACTAACACACACGAATGCATTCACACACACACACACACACACACACACATATATATATTATATTTTATATATATATATATATATATATATATATATATATATATATTTATTTTATATATATATAATAGAGGATTAGATAAGTTCGTTTATACGTTTCACGCTCCTCCTTAGTCTTTAACGAGATCAGAGGCTTATCCCTTGTTCCCGGTTCCTTCTAAAGTCTTTTCATTCTCTTTCACCCTCAGTATCCCCCCCTTACGTCTTAGTGGCATTATCGCCTTCCTTGGATGAAATGATTAGAAAAATGATTGTAGTGATGAAGTTTCGCGTAGAATCAACCACACCCCAAAATACAAAGAAATGCTGCACAATGTGTCACGAAATATCCCAAACTTCCCTCATGTTTTACTGCCACGGCACTTTACCTCTGAAATAAGGTCTAAGCCTCAAAACAGTCACCATGACTCTAATTCACTAATAAGGAAACATTTTACTACGAATATAAACAACTGAGATCCAAGTCTTGACTTCTTCCCCTGTGTAAACGAGTACTTCAGCTAGTACATTAGACATACGTTTTCAGACGTATCTTGTTTCACAGCGACAGTGGAAGTGACGATGTCAGTGAAGTAAGACTCACGCAAATTGACCTATCTCAAATGACCTCCAGTGTCTGTCAAGGGTGGTTGATTGCATTGAAAAGAGTGCGCCTACAAAATCAGCAAATAGAAAATAAGACCTACTGCCCCCATTTTCTTCATTGAAGCGTCGCTGTTGACGCCATTTGTCGCCTTCTCGAATCTCCCTCCTGCTATTCCTCTATCCATCTCTACACCTTCGTTTTTTAAATTAGATTTCTGACAACTTAAGAGTTGTGTACCGAACTTTAAAAGGAAGATGAGTCTATTTGATAGACATGGTTTTACATTTAAATTTAATTGGTTCTGTTCAAAGGGATTGTTTATATAAGTGTCAGTATGTAATAAGGATAGTTGCTTACGAAAGAAAGCTTCAAGAAAATGGACACAGTAAGTACATGTTTGTTTGTGTGTGTGTTTATAGATATGTCCACTTTTTCGCTTTAAAAAATGGCATAATCTGAAAAAGGCTCCAAACTTAAAAACAAAATTTTTATGGTGAAAAAGTTTATTAATAAGAGGAGAGACCAAAGTATTTTTTGATTATTTTTATTCCTTTTTAGCACGTTTGAAATTTTGGTTGAAAATGTTTATTTTTTGTTTTTTGTTTTTTTAAAGTTTGAGGTCATATGCATGTTTCATTAAAAACGAAAGACAAGGGACTACGATTAAACTTTTCATTTAATTTTTCTTGTGTTCAAACTAGTGCTTGCTTTTTTTTTTTTTTTTTTTTTATTTCTTTATAAAACGGTAAATATTAGCACATTGTTGCCGGTTTAATATTCTGATAATTTTGTGATTTTTTTTTTTTTTTTATTTTATAAATTTTTTAATAAAAAGATTTCTTTTCAAATTTATTTCTTTTATAAAATGGTAAATAATAAATATCACATTTGTACGTTGTTCACATATTTTTATAATCTTGTCAGCTGTATGCAACAGCTTGCTTAGATCAATGTTTAAAAAGGGCTTTGGGTGAGTGACTATCCTTCTCTGGAGATTGTAAACTACAGAATCGCAAATGAAGAACTGTACAAAATAACAAAGGACATTAGTTGAGGTCTAGCAACAACTAAATCCGATAGCATATGTAACAGGAAGAGAAAATAATAGCATAATCAAGATGTTGACCTTACACATTACTTCAAACAAAAGGTTAGGAAGGACCCATCCCCCTTCAGTACTCGAAAGATCTATAACAACTACTGAACTTGGAAAAGCTGTTTTCCTAAAAAAAATTGTTTTAAGAGAAATATTTTATAAATTTCAATCAAAAGCAGTGTTGGCTATTCGGTCAATGAATGACATGTTTCCTTATAGGGAAACGGCTAATACTGCCATTAGCATTATTATTTTTGGATGAGATCAAAGTGAGGCTGCGAGGTTTGAAAAAAAAAAAAAAAAAAAAAAAAAACATTGCCGAGTAAGTCAAAAGTTTATACAATGATAACGGTGCCACGGGAATAATTGTCCTTTTGAAACCCCGTATTTTTGCGGACACTGAAACATTGCCAGCATTTTTATCAAACGTTGCTAGATCTGGAACGACTGAGATAGATAGATAGAACCAAACTGTGATAGTGTGTATGCGTGCATATCTGGGCAGCAATCACTCTCTAATATATGTTTCCTTGAAAATGACTGACGGGATTTTCTTTTCTTTTTTTTAAATTTTTTTTTTTGAGGGGGGGACACAGTAATGGGGAAATGATTTGAATAATTGTTTGTTCCGAGTGCTTTTGGTTAATCTATTAGTCATTTTCAAGGGTTTTGTTTGCGTTCACGTAAATGGTGTACAGATTACTGATACGTAAACATGTTTTTAATTCCTGAACACGGTCAGTACATTATAGTCATGTTCGTTGTTGATATTGTTAAGCATTGATTTTTTTTTTTTTTTTTTTTTTTATAAAAAGGGATATTATTATTTATAGATGTTTTCTGTAGAGATAGGTGTATATTATATTTCACATATCGGAGTTATTATGCTTACGTATTTAAGCGGGTCCTTATGGCGCTATAACCTGAGGGATATTAAGTCAGTTGCCTTGATAAACTTCAGTCTTCAAACGTAACTTTTAGCAGGTACACGTGTAAACACCCCGTTTTTTTGTGTTTGTTTTTGTTTTTGTGTTTGTGTTTGTTTTTGTTTGTTTGTTTTTGTTTGGTTGTAGGAAAAACAAAAACAATGTGTATTGCATCTATCCGCCAGCATATTAGAGAAATGTTAATAAAGAAAATATCCTCTCCGGTTGCGTTTGAACCTCTGTCCCCATTGGTAGGAGAAACCACTATTTGATCATTGGAGCTCTGTGGCCAAATGTTTTAAAACACGCTGGATTTGAAATTCTGTGCGCGTAGAACCCACTATCTATCAGTATATTTGTTTCTTTGCCTCTTTTTCCGTTTCTTTCTTTGCCTCTTTTTCCTTCCCACCCTCTCTCTCTCTCTTTCCTTCCCACCCCCTCTCTCTTTCCTTCCCACCCCTCTCTCTCTTTCCTTCCCCCCTCTCTCTCCTTCCCCACCCCCTCTCTCTCTTTCCTTCCCACCCTCTCTCTCTCTTTTTTCCTTCCCACCCTCTCTCTCTCTCTCCTTCCCACCCTCTCTCCTCCTTCCCACCCTCTCTCCTTCCCACCTCTCTCCTTCCCTTCCCCCTCTCTCTCCTTCCCCTCTCTCTCCTTCCCACCCCTCTCTCTCCTTCCTTCCCCTCTCTCTCCTTCCTTCCCACCCTCTCTCTCTTTCCTTCCCACCCTCTCTCTCTTTCCTTCCCACCTTCCTCTCTCTCTCTCCCTCCTTCTCTCTCTCTCTCTCTCCTTCTCTCTCTCTCTCTCCTTCTCTCTCTCTCTCTCTCCTTCCCTCTCTCTCTCTCCTTCCTCTCTCTCCTTCCTCTCTCTCTCTCTTTCCTTCCTCTCTCTCTCTCTCTCTCTTTGACTGTGTGAGTCTCTTTCTCTGTGTTACATTCTCTCCGTCCCTGAATGTGTTTTCCCCACTCTTTTTTCTATCTCTCTCTCTCTCTCTTTCTCCCTGTTTCTCTCCCAGTGTGTTTCTTTCTGTCTCTGTTTCTTCATCACTGTTTGCTTTTTGCTTGTTTCTTTCTTTTTTCTTTCTCTCTCTCTCTCTCTCTCTCTCTCGCTGAGCTTTCTCTCTCCCCGCGCATGCATGTTATTCATAATGAATGAGATAAAGAAAAACAAGAAGGGGGAGGCAATAACAAAAATGACTCAGAAAACGTTTCACTCACGTGGTTAGAAGTTGGTAAGCATCATCACTTCAATCTAAATAAGCTCCTCTTCTCATTGTAGCCTTTTTTTTGTCTTCCCACCCCAACTCTCTGACATTCCTATGACTCGACAAAAACAATATCTTCCAGATTAATTAAATCTGCCGATTAATCCTCCAATCGCAAACTTGCCCTAATCCAATAAAAAAAACTGTACGGAATCTTAAGTTCATAACAAGGGTAACGTGACTTTTTGTTTACAATAACAAATCCAGTTACCTGTTAGGGTCATAGGTGCACCATGTGTACTGCAGCCGTGTGTCTAAGGCAAGATAACCTTACGGCGCCCATTCCTCTTCAGATTGGTTTTGAATTCAGGCATAAGAGCTCAGTCTACCTTGCTATTTAACCCAAAGCTGAGGGAAGATATATTTGTCTTTTCTAAGGGCATTTTATATGAAAGTGGATGTCAAAGATTTGGTTAGAATTTGAACCTGGCATGCTGATTCCACTTTCGGGCTATATCTATGGACTTGTAAATCGAATATATTTTAGTAAATTTAAAGGAGTATTCCAACTCACCGAGAAAAGGGGATTTACTTTCAGTGAATCCCTTAACCCTTTTCCTGGCCGTTCCACGGGATCTTTCAATCTCAATTAGCAAGAATATAATTAGGATGCTAAAAGAATGATTAGGTCAAGGGAATTAACCTTACCGATTTCTTGATCATTTAACCCCTCCCTCTCCCCGTCTAACTCCCTCCACCTCTTCTTCTTTAATGGCGGAGGTGAAGTTGATCTTTTGATTGGTTGAATTTGTTTACTGACATATCAACACCTATATGGGTTATTTAAAGCCAAAATGTAAATATTTTATATGCATTTTTTTTTTCTTGGATATGTTTTAGTGTTTAACTCTTACTGATTAACACATCCAAAATTTAATTATTTTGCATGCAATTTTAGTTTTAGTGACATGTCTTACTAATTAACCCATAGCTGGGGGGAAGAGGTGCATTCATACCTTTCCCAAGAGTATTTGTGCGTAAGTGAATATGACGAACCCGACTGGAATTGGAACTCTGTTCTACGATTAACAATTGCTCATATAAACTTACAGCACCAGCGATTTCCTAGCGGTCACCCATCTAGGTACAGACCAGGTTGCTTAACTTCGATGATCGTACGGGAACCGGAGGTTCAATGTGATGCGGTCGTAAGCGCGGAATAGAAGGGAGAAAAGAACAAAGTGTGGGATTGACATACAAGAATAGAATAAGAGGAAAAATTGCATTGTCTGTAACGACTGAAATTGCGACAAAATCCAACCAATGTTCATTGAATGATTAGTGCCCTTCCCAAAAGATCAACATTAGGAATGACGATAAACTACATCCGGCAGCAAGGCCTTTGATCAAGAGATTGAAGTTTTGAGGAACGTGGAATCACCTTTTAAAAAGAATAAAGTGTGGGATTGACATGCAAGAATAGAATAACTAATAGAATAAAAGGAAAGATATTTGTGGCGGACTTCACCACATTAATTTAACTTTAGATTAGGAAACAAGATTGACGTGGAAAAGGATAAGCAAAAGACATCGTCACACATAAAATATGCATTTCACAAGATGTACAAAGCATGCATTTAAGAAAAAGTTGAATAAAACAAGAGTTGTCCCTCCTTAACTGTAATTTTTGTATTTCAAAGTTCACTCGAAGAATGTTTATAATGAATGTTCTCATATGAATGTTTATAACGAATGTTTGCTGTGTAAGAAAAGGTTATGTGAGCATATAAGGAATGTTCAGCATGTAAGTGGTGTGTGTGAGTGAGAAGGTTGGTGCATGGTTTCAACTGTCGTGGATTTGTTTGGCAGCTGAATTCTCACTAATTAGGTAAGAAAAATGCTTGCTTATATAACTGACTATAGACTCCAGACTGCTGCGCGGGAAAAGTTACTCTCCACGTGTAGTCGATCTGATTGGTTGGCATTGACCAATCAACGAGCAAGTTTTGGGGAGACTTAAGAAAGCTTCTGGGATCCGTTTCTCCCGAAAGTGCACAAAATTGACGACATGAAAATAGAGCGATTACAAAATTGTCGCATTACTGCGATTTGTAAATTGTCTATAATAACGTAGTAGTGATTTATCAACAAATGAATGTTTGGCGTTGTGTGTGTGCGATGTAGATCAGCACATATTTATATTTACTAAAATTCGCATCAAATTCTCCCAGAATTTTACTACAGTCAGGCTGACCTTTGAGATCTCCCCAAATGTAGCCGACTCTGGTGCACTATTTTTGAGTTGACGGTCTGCCTCCGCATTCATCCCGAATTTTTTTTTTTTTTTTTTTTTTTTGAATTGTAAAAATTCTTTGTAAGTACCTCGAATATCATTCGAAATCACGAAATATGAATAACTCTCTGATTTTTTTTAATTTTTCATTCTGTATAGGTTCGAGTTGCTGCAAGGCAAGCTGAATAAATTTTGATCTTAAATTTATAATTTCAACAGTGCCAAAAATGTAATAAAAAAAATTTGCTTTTAAAATTTATAATTTCTTGGGGTGAATAAATATTTGCGATAAGTTACTTTAGATTATTCGGGGTGAAATAACAGAAAAGGATCCATTTAAAATTCTATTCTTGTCTTCATTTTTTTTCTTATACTTTATTGTATTCTTGTAATGTTTATTCAATTCTTTATTCTCTTTCTTATTTGTCGTATGTGTCAGCATCTTTTCTCTTTTATATATTTTTAATAAATTAAAATCTACAAGAATGAAGTATTTTATTTACAGCAGCAAGGATTAAAAGAAAAAAAAACAAAAAAAAACATGACAATGGGAGACCGACTTACGGCAAGTCAGCAGAAAAGAAATACTGGGTGGAATGAATATTTATTTAATCATAATCAGTGAGACGGAAGTTATGGGTTGCGGGGAGAGGGGGGTGAAGATGCGGAGAAGAAATTATTTTCCACTTACGTCTGGTAAAAGTTAAGATTTTGCATGTGGATTTCAAGTTATACAATAATTGACTCTCACACTTGGAAACTCGGAGCATCACTATCTTCGTGTCTATATTTTATCCAGTTTGCCCGTATGATGGAAAAAGATAAGGTTAGTAAATGTACATAAGAATTATAAGGAAAGACATTAAAAAAATTCTGGGACCATCACACGATGTAAGATAGAGCCCAATTCTCTCAGTAATGTTTACATTAATTCCTGACCAAAGACAATACATTTATTCTGTTCCAATGTATATATGTAGTAAAATTATTTACAGTGCATTTCCATTATATATATATATATATATATATATATATATATATATATATATATATAAAGCTGTATTCTATCAGTAATGATTATATTCTTTCCTGACCACTGACAATCTTCCTAATTTTTCTTCCTAATTCAATTCTTTTCAAGAGATTGTTTTCTCAATTGATTAGAATGAATAAGTTCTTATATATATATATATATATATATATATATATATGTTTAATGAAGAAACCATTGATATTGATTAGAATTAAGTTCTTATATATATATAAATATATATAATACATTGATTATATATTATATGCGCGGTAATTATTGGAAAGCGCTCAGAGATAGAGCTAACATATTTGGTTGGATTGATGTGAGTTTGTGACCCTGGGTTTCAGGCTTTTGCGATCGTCAGACAGTTTGGTCACAAACTCACATCAACCCAAAACCATATATATATATATATATATATATATATATATATATATATATATTTCAAAATATCCAACTCTCAATATCAATGGTTTTCGGCACATGTTAACAATTTGTCTACATTGGCGGAGTCTTGTTCTTTATTTTATTTTTTAATTTGTATTCTATTTAATGCACGTATTTTCAAAACTCCATGTTTCAAAAGCACATTCCTCGCTATGTCTCACCAGCAATGCCGGTAGGGTGGGTCCTCTGTTTGTTCCAAATTCAAGTGCCGTCCGTATTAGTCGGACCTGTTTTAATACACAAAAATGTCCTTTCCCCTCTTTCCATGCGTTAAAAACGGAATAGTCTATTATTTAGGAGGAATTGGCAGGAGACGTTAAATATTTCTATCTATCTATCTTTCTTTGATATTGTGCGTCTGAAAAATGACGCGTTTATTGCAGTCGCCATTATGTCTCACCCTTTTGGCTAATATCGAAGCGTAATATCTGTTCTTATCAACTTAATCTGATTTTCTCTCTTCCCTTCTTCCTTTCTTCGATTTTCTCACTAAAACCAATCAGTGTCTTTTCCACACTATCAAAATTGAATAGTCCATTATTTATGAGATATTGGCAGGGCGTAACGTTCGTGCGAACTAACAAAGCAATTGGCAAGCGCAATTATAATAGGATTTTTTTATCTAAACGTGGAGTACATCGCAGGGTCTGTACAACTCCACCTATTATCCTATATAGACATCAATGGGTTCCAAAATAAGTGGTGTACCCAGACCCCATGTTAATACACTTATTCCGTGTCTCTTGCATCTACTGGCACAATACAGTAAGTGTTGTACGTGGGCCTAACTAAGAGAGTTTGGCATCGTCAACTTATGTCCCATAAATATTTATTGGGGGGAGAGCTCTGGTTTTTTTTGGTGACCAGGAAAGTTGTTGGAAAGCCCATTGAATATCATAGACGACGGGAATTTTCTTTGGAACAGTAAATCCCATTCTTGTTTCCAGGAATGCCTACAGAGTATGTTGCACAATATTCTGGACCTGTATAATGCTGTCCAATGTTTCCTTCACAAACACCAAAGATGAGAGGGAGCTGTAACGTATGGAACGCCATGCATCGATACAAGGACCTGTAAACTGTGAGTGAATATTCTGAATGAACTTTTCTCTCTGTCACAATAATAATTTACTTGGATTGATGTGAATTATTTACCCTGGGTTTCACGCCCTTGCAATCATCAGACGTGAAACCCAGGGTCACAAACTCACATCAGTACAACTAAATGTTAGCTCTATTACTTATATTGAGAGCATTTACCGCGCATATAGAAAATATATATATATATATATATATATATATATATATATATATATATATAACCATCATTCACCTGAAAGCTAAACCCGTATCTATCACTGAACACCTCAAGAGAGCAACGTTCAATCCCACATATGGTCCTCTCCCGACACACAAAGATGTGTACGATGCTGTTGTGGCGTAAATAGATGTTTCTTGAAAGGTTACAATGTACCCCAATCCCAAATGAGTCTAATATTTATTTTGCCTTCGGGGGAAGGGTAATATATAATAAATGTACGTAGCAAACTGGTAACTTTTATCAAATTTAACTAATATATATAACCTCTCATCAATGGACTTTGGATGCAACGACAAAATCTGCAGGCAAAATAAAAAAAAAATCTACAGGAAAGAAAACTTCCAAATCGTTAGTGATGTATTTCAAAATTTGCGTTCTTAGCGGAACGAGTCGTATTAGTTCTCAGTCACCGCTTGGTGGCGGTGGCGGGACTTTCAATTCTAAACAAAGACGGGTGTACAGTATATAAAGTACGATACATTAGAGCGTGCGTGAGAAAGTAGCTGTGAGAAATGTACTATTTTTGTTATTTTGATTAATACATCCATACTAAGTATATATTTATTTATGCAATATATACATGTTTATGATCATAACTACTGATAGTTACTATACTGGTTTTATAACTCAAAAATAATCCCTTCCCATCTACGGACTATCGGCTTTAACGGATCACCCCTCCTCCTTATTAGTCCATTGATGAGAGGTTTGTGTATATATATATATATATATATATATATATATATATGATCTGGAGTATTTAACCTATCTGCTATGTTCCTTTAGGACGTTGGCGATCAGGGCTTTCCACAATTTCCTGCCCTTTGTAACTCTTTGTAAATTAGTCTTTTTGAAGTATCTCCTAAATCTTGTTCTGTCATCCATTTCCACAAGCTCGTTATGTAGATTATGTTCTAATTATCTCTCTCTTTCTCGTTTTTAATATGTCCCGTCAGTGTGAAATTTTCTAAGCTCTCTTTTCTCATGTACCCTCGAAAATTGTATTTTCCATTTTTCTCTAAAACTTCGTCGTTTGTCACATGTTTGCTCCATAGTATTCTCAACATACTTATGTAGAGCCACATTTCTGTTTTGTCAACTCTCTTCTTCTGTAAGGAGATTGTCAAGTATTCACTGCCATATTGAAGGACAGATATTATGTAACAGTTCAACATTTCTTTTGTTTCTAATGAAATTTTCTTAATACTTTGCTTAGCTTTTAGAAAGCATATAAAAAAAAAATAAACAAAAAATGATTTCTGGTCGAAGTGCCGAGTGTACAACTCCGCCGTACTTTTTTCTCTACTACAGTTATGTACGCTTTATCTTGAATAAATTAAAACCGAAAATAAAATTTTAGTGCTCTAAATATAAGTGTTGTAATTTTATTTTCTGACAGTGTATATTACATATAAAATGACCTTAATTTTTGTTTTATCTTTTAACGAGTTCGTGTTATTATATTTCCCATTGAACTAATTCCACTTCCTTTTTTGGCCGACTGCTCTTCCTTCCTCTATACACACACTTCTGAAAGCCGTCATCACATGAGACTTGTTTGTAACTTCCGCTAAGAAAAGAAGTTGAGATAACGGAACCAGTTCTCACTTTTGTTCTTTCTGCATTCAACCGCTTTCCCAGCGCTGCTATTTGTCTCAATGTGCGTACATATTTTTTTCTTTTTTTGCGACTGTCTTTTCCTCTGCCTTTCACCCAACTTTCCAGCCAATCAAATTGCGCGTTTCGCTTTCCTCTTACTGTCTACCTAACCAAAGTATCATTTGACTTCAGTCATTTTCTCACCGACATGACGTGATTTCCCTGTCTTTTCTATAAATATTTTCATGCTAACTGCTCTGATGAGCTTTTTTTCCCCTGGCGCCCAGACTACATGAATTTAAGCGTGCTACTAGATTGGCAACTAGGTCCCACTCATTTACTGTTGAAATAGCTAAATGCAACCGCCATTTCTACTCGTACTTCCCATCTGCAGAACATGTATCAGTTACCAGATATAGTCTTATGGAAACACTTCGACGCGGTGTTATGATTAAGCAAGCTTTCGTTTGATCAGTTGCGACTGAATAGAGAGTTTGATCCTCACTGGGTGCCCCATACTTTCGGCCTTGTGCCACATCTAAGCTACGCTTAGAAAATCATTTAGAGTACTTCGACGTGGTGTAATGGTTAGCAAAAAAAAAAAAAGACAGAATTAATTTTATCAAAGATGTTAAAAAAAGAAATAACGGACAGGTGCCGATACACATCTGGTGATATGAATAAAACTAATTTTCCGTATCTAACTTCGCAGATGAAAAAAAAATCCCATCTGGTGTATTTATGTTAATTCTTAGGCAACACTTACACCTACATACACAGAATCTTCGTCTGAAAGGGAGAAGGTATTTCGAGTGTGTCACGAACAAGAACCCTCTGAAGAGGGTGCTGGCATCTCTTAATTTGGAGATGGGTGGGTAGAAGCCGAAAGGGGATGAAACGCCATTTTTTTTTTTTTTTTTTTTTTTTTTTTTTTTTATGGGGCCGTCACTCGGGTAACTGATGTGCATTTCTCTCCACAATCAAGGCAAAGAATGGTTTTGTTTTCGCGTCGGCTGAACCTAATATATGAAAGGAGGCAAATAAACGTATCGTTCACACACACACAGTGATAATTGAACACAGGTACACACATGCAGACGCGTGTATGTACAAACAGTATACCATGCGCTTTTTATGGTTGATTTTTTTTTCTTTTTGTGTGCGTCCGTGTATATGTAGAATGTTGTGGTTATTTTCCCTCTTCCTATTCGAAAGAGTTCAGTTTGAAATTCCCTGTAGGTTACCGGGATCGGCATGCACCCGATGAAGACCGGAGAGCACAACGGTCGAAACGTGATAACAAAAATAACAACAACAACAACAACAAAGCTGAGGGCCGCATGTAAATAGTGTATATAACTCCTCGTCCCCCAATTCTGATAGAATCAAACGGATCAGATTCCAACATCCTTCCGCCCCCCCACCAAATTCTTCGTTTCTACAAGACAATATGCATAACAGATGCCCCAAATCGTGACACATCTGAACACTTCCTACATTTTGTATTCTTGTTAAAAAAGGGGGGTCAGTGAAAAGGTGGGCACGGGAATCTGAATCCAAGATGCTAATGATGTCGATTGCAGATCGGCAATGGGGCAGATGGCCCGCGGTGCAGAGTAGAAAGCCAGTGAGTGGACGCTTCCTGACACACGCCCTGCATGTGCTCGGCTTATGTGATGTTTATACTTTCTGAGCGTTTTGCATCTGAAGCAAAGGGAAGGGCTTCTTTTTTTCTTGTGGCTGCCAGTTAACGGCGTACGTTTTTTTTTTTTTTTTTTTTTAAAACGCCCGTCTCTATTTTGTACTCAACACAAACATCATAACTGTGCTTGTTCAACGCACACACACACACACATTAATAGTTCGCACAACCGTTACGCCCTGCCAATACCTCATAAATAATGGACTATTCCGTTTTGATCGCGTGGAATATGAGGAAAAGACACACTACTTGTTTTCAGTGAGAATATAAAAAAGGGAAAATAGAAGTGTTGAACGTCTCCTGCCAATAAATCATAATGGACTATTCCGTTTTGATTGCAACCCAAAAGACATCCGCTACTTGGTTTCAGTGAGAGTAAGTAAGTAAAAAATATAAGAATATAACTATACTATATAATATAAGAATATAACTATACTATATAATATAAGAAATAATATACTATATAATATAAGAATATAACTATACTATATAATATAAGAATATAACTATACATATAAGAATATAACTATAATATTAAGAATATAACTATACTATATAATATAAGAATATAACTATACTATATAATATAAGAATATAACTATACTATATAATATAAGAATATAACACTTTATAATAAATATAACTATACTATATAATATAAGAATATAACTATACTATATAATATAAGAATATAACTATACTATATAATATAAGAATATAACTATACTATATAATATAAGAATATAACTATACTATATAATATAAGAATATAACTATTATATAATATAAGAATATAACTATACTATATAATTTGAATATTATACTATATAATATAAGAATATAACTATACTATATAATATAAGAATATAACTATACTATATAATATAAGAATATAACTATACTATATAATATAAGAATATAACTATACTATAATATAATAAAAAAAAAATTGTCAATTTCAAATTTTTTCATTTGTACCCACTTTTTTAAAATTACACGTTTGACCAGCATTCATATTTGATTGTTATCGCCATATTTTGTTGCAAGGTTTAACGATGTGATAGGGGAATTCCTACAGATAGTGTATTATTATAGTTGTGGAACTTGCCATAAGCTTCTTCAATCATTGACTGAAGAATTAAGATTCATCAGAAATCTAAAATAGGAAAACCGGGAAATTTTCACAGGTCTTTCTAGTTTTATTATTATTATTATTATTATTAATCGCTTGTAGAAGTAGATGTGTGAGTGACGTAACGGATATCGGCGCAAAAAAAAATGGAATCGGCCAGCTAAGTTCAAATTCCGTTCGAGGCTGTTGCGTCCACTTCGCACTGAAAAGCATCAATTCATCTCTTCTCCCCACTGCTATGGTTAACATCGTAGGGTAGACTTTTCCTTCTCTTTGATATTTTTCTCTTTGTTTTCCTTCTTTCTCTTCTCTTTTCTTTTTCGGAAATTGAAGATATGTCTACCTATAAACCATTTACAATAGCCCAACCCAAATACCTGAAAATGGCTACTAGATTAGCCGAAAGCGCTCAGAATGAACCTTGCTAACCAGACGCTTCCTCTGTAGCTAAATAGTATAGCGCATCAGGCTATATGAGGTGGTTCAATGTAGGATACAGGTTCGATGCCTGTCGGAGGACACACATTTTCTATGAAATTTCTCGGACATTCAATCTGGTAAATGTAGTTAATTCTATTTATTATAAACAGAGCATTCACTTAAATAAATTTATAAAAATAACGTGTAAACCGAAAATATATTAAAATAATTGTCGGACTTAGTCCATTTCACATACACACACACATACATATAAGTTTCACGGACATCCTTTTTTATATAAAAGTATTCGTTTTTGTTGACATTCTAGATTTGTTTTTTTCTTCTTGGATTCCGTACTTTTTAAAAACAGAAAAGCATTGACCGACATAAGAGAAATTCACCTTTTTTTATTTTTGTGTGAAACCTGAGCATTAAAAAAAAGTCTCATTGTTAGTTAATGGGTTTGTACAAGCATGTTCAGTGCGATGAAGGAGATACTTGTTATACATTATAAAGTTTCTTTTCTCTGCATCCTTTAGCTAGCTCGCTGTCTCTCTCTCTCTCTATCCTTTAGCTAGCTCGCTGTCTCTCTCTCTCTCTATCCTTTAGCTAGCTCGCTGTCTCTCTCTCTCTCTATCCTTTAGCTAGCTCGCTGTCTCTCTCTCTCTCTATCCTTTAGCTAGCTCGCTGTCTCTCTCTCTCTCTCTCTCTCTCTCTCTCTCTTTCTTTCTTTGTCTCGTTTAATTCTAAAAAACAACGAAGTCTCAGTGATTCCGCCCGGAAGAAGCGCCGATAGGGTGCGCTGTTCAGTGCTTCATATTTGACTGACGACAGCAGACAAAATGGCACGTGAGAATATCCTGTCATTATTTTCTCTCTACATTTGTATAAATGGTCGACTTTATAATCGTCGCAACAACTGCTACAGCCTTCAAGTTGGACAGGCATAATTGAGTAAAGCTAGCATGGCAGAAGGCTCAATGTTTTTAGGAGATAAAATAAAGGTGCAATGTTGTGCTATGTAAATTTTCCATCATGAGTGGAAGGCAGCCTTCGTTGATAATCTTCGTTTATCTTCCTTTTCTTTATCTTCTTTGTGCCGTGTCCCTTCAGGACATTGGAGATGACGTCACTCCACAATTTCCTGTTTTTTGTAGCTCTTAATGATTTTTTTTTTTTTTATCTCTTCAAAAACTGTTCCTCCATCCATTTACTCAAGCTCGCTAGGTAGGTTATGCGTTGTTTTCTTCTGTCCCACTAGCCTTCAATCTGCCCTGTGAGAATCAAATTTTCCAAGCCTTCTTTCTTCATTATCTGCCCTAGAAATTACTTTCTCTTGTCTCTTTCTGGTGTTAAGTATAAGAGTGACTTTTATCTCTATTTTCTCTAAAGCTTCGTTTTTTTGTCCACTGTATTCTCAGCATCCTTCTGTAGAACACCATTTCTGTTGCTTCAAGTCTCTTCTTCATCTATAAACATTCAACATTCGCAGCCATATAGAAGGGCTGATATTACGTAACACTTTTGTACTCTTTTCTAACGAAATTCTCCTACTATAAACTCTTCCCACGCAGTTGAGTCAGTATAAAAATTTTGCCTCCCTCATTTGTGAATTTTCCGTTGTTCCTATGAGCGAGATAAAAAAAAAAAAAAAAAAAAAAACTCATTGGAGCGCTTTCAGGGACCTCCGAACGCAACATTTTTAGCTTATTTATATGGTCATTTAATGTCGAAATTTTCTTTGGAGCATTAGTAATTTTCTTTACAAAAAAAATAATTATTTTTTATTTTTTTTATTTTTTTTTTTTTAATGTATTGCTGGTAATTTTTTCTTTTTTTTACTATGAAAATGCATTTTTAGATTTTCATAGTGTTTGACCCAGTTTAGGGGTTAACTATTTGCTCATAGCTAGGACCCTAACAAGTACTATCAGCCCGGGTCAGGGTGGACCTGAGAACACCAGCAATTAAGAGGTGGTTCTACACTCCTAAAAACCTCCAATTTCCTGATCAGAGGCCTTGCTGCCGGATGTAGTTAAATGTCATACCCAGGACTAACCGACGCAACATAGATCTAACGAAGGCAAAATATTGTCATAGAACGCACGCATTAGTCCAGGAGGCCAAAACGACGTTTGGGCACAACTTGTATTGCAACCGGATGTAGATGAACCTTAGGCAAAATAGTCTGACGGAACCCATCTCTCTTTCAGGCTGGTTTTAAATTCGGGATTGCCCTTCTGCTAAATTGGTTGCCACATAAGTAGTTTGCTCTACTATTCAACCTGAATCTGAAGGGCAAAGAGATTGATACATACCAAGGACATTTGTGTGAAAGTGGACGTAACGAACCCGACTGGAATTCGAACTCTTTACCAGTCGCTCATCCGTTGTCATAGAAACAGAATAGGGTCTTGGTCTGAGTAATTTGTGGGATTAAGTCATCTTCTGATTGTTGCTTTTTATCACAACACTCTGGGTCAATAACATCTTCAACTATTTAAGCAGAGTAAATATTGGCAAGACATGTGCTCGGTTTCTCACCACTCTAAAGTCTGCTTTTCATAAACATTACTACGAAAGTCCTGATTGAATGGGGAACAAACCATTTCCCCTGTTCTCATCTTTCCAATTTATCAAGCCTTCTGTGGGCGAAGTAGTTAAGGTGACGTCCAAGGAGAATTTAACACTTACTAGGTGTACCGAAGACAAAAGAAGCAAGGGACCGTAATGGGTAACCCACTTTGACATATCTGAGCAAATGGATGAGAGAGATAGAGAATCCTAAAGAAGCAAGTATTATTGAAAGCGACAAAAGCAAGAGACTCATGGCCGCCAACGTCCTGAAGGGACATGGCACACGAAGAGGATAAGGAAAGAAACGAAATCTGTGATTTTTTTTCTTAGACAACGTGTATTTATTTAAGCAAGCCACGTTAAACCCAAACTAGGGTGCGTCATCAAAGTAATGGACACACGTTACACTTGTTTGTTCATTTGAAGAGCCGCTCGTCTAAATGTAGTGTTCTAACAATCAGTCATCTAAAATAACTGCATTTATCCTGTTTACCAAGGCGAGTCCCTTTCTCTGCTGCTCTGTTTTCAAAAGAGCTCTTCTAGCTGATCGCAATCGCGCCTAATTTCAATGACTACCGTTATTTTATTTTTAATAAATTAATCACGGGTCCGATATTTGTCACTCAATAATATATAAAATTCCGTGACTTCCGTTCGTCTGTCACGGCCCCTAAAATAGCCATACATTTATTGACCGAAACCAAATTTTAAGGAAAAGTGCAAACAGGTAATGTGCTAATACCCTTGGGAAAGGTGTGAATCCTCCTCTTCTCCCTCCAGCTATGAGTAAATAGCAGGACAGACTGGGTTCTATAGCCTTGGATGAGAACTGGTCTAGGAGAAGGAAAACTGAATTCAAAACCTGCGGAGGGTGAATGGAGTCTCTCTGAGCCTTGGTTGGCAATCCATTCAGTGATGGTGTCACGATAAAAACACCCTTGATAGTCCTAGCGAAGCATCAAGAATTCAGCTATTTGACAAGATTATGAACTACACCAATCAAAGTATTAGCTATGACAGATAAGGAATACTGGAAAGGTGTAGTGAGTTCAATCTCGGCTGAGGCCGCAAGATGATGATGAATAGGGGTTTACAAAGTATAATTGGTTTTGCTAGGGTGTGGTAGCTTAGTACAAAATACTGCCACTCTATTTTAAAAAAATGAATGATTAAAATAAACAAATACTTATTTAATAAAAATGAAATATTGTTTTTGCATATCTTTTCTTTAAGATTTTATATATATTTCATTTTGGTAACATAATGCCCAGCAGTGGCACATTGAATATAAGCACAGTGGGGAGAGTTTCAAATGGTTTGGTTGTTTTACGGCATATCAACCACAATGGGTTATTTAATGCCGGCAATTTTTATTGCTGGTAATATTTTCCTTCAAAAATGTATCGCTGGTAATATCTTTTCAAAAAATGTATAGCTTTTTTTTCTTTTCTTTTTAAAAAAAAAATGTATAGCTGTTTTTTTGTTTTTGTTTGTGTGGCCAGCTTCACTTTTACAACCGCTCTTAGACACATAGCAAACATAAAATCTGTCTGTGTTACTCATGTTGAGAACGTTCCTGCCCCTGTGTACAATTATGTGATGTTTGATTCCCGCAACAAACTTACGAACCTTGTCACAAAACTTGCACAAGTAACCTGTAGGTATGTAGCGGACCGTGGGTTTACGTGTTGTTAAATTAGGAACACATAACTCCTGATAGAATATTAAATGGTCAACTACCAGAATATGGCAGACTCAAGTTGAGCCCAACCGAAGATGTGTAAAGAAAAACAAGACATATATATATATATATATATATATATATATATATATATATATATATATATATATAAACAAGTATATGTATTAAACAACAAAATTTACAATGGACATAGACATTAACATTTGTGTTTGTCTGTGAACGTAAAGAGTTTGTATTTTGGTGAGCGTTCGTACGTAGCTATGTGTGTATAATGTTCATGGCGTCTCCCACAAGTGGGAAGAGGCAATCTTCTGCGAGAGCTTACATTGTAGATGTGTTCGCTAAAAATGAAAAAGAGAACGAGGCACGAAATAGCCTAGTATTTATAGTGTAGAGAGAGCGTCCCCTAGTGAACAATTTGGACAATTAGGAGGAGTTAACTCTGACAGGTCTTTCTGTTAGGGTTGCATTTCACAGGTGTTTACACTTGACCTCTCTAGTGTGATCTCATGTGACTGGCTAAGCCAGCCGCCGAAAGAGTGACCTTTTCCACAAACAGTGTAAGTGTGTTGGTGTCCTAATAGCACTGAGACAGATTCTATTTCTTCCTTCCTAATGGCGCGCTTTTTGTTGGAATGCTCAAGAGTCTTTAGGTTACATTTGACGACATCCTTGAAATATATATATATATATATATGTATATGCATGTATTTCTTAATATAAAAAACAAAGTTCAACATCTGTTTGTGTTTTTTAAACAATCTGTTTTATCGTTTCTGTGAAGAATTTTTCATTTGAATGTCTTACTGATACGAAAGTGTTTCTTTTAGTGCACGGCTTGAAAGACCGACATTTCTACAATGTATTGCTTTCATCCTTCAATATCCTTATCATAAATTTACAAATATATATTCGTCAATGACTGTTTTATCTGCTTCGTCAAAAGCTGAGTTGGAGATAAAATATTAACGAAAACAAACGGCAGTCACGTTATTTTTAACTTGAAGGTGCTGGATAACGGTAACGTTTTTCCATACGAATATGATTTAAAAATAAAAAACACTGCGTTAAAAATAATGTTCATTATTTTTTTTCTTAATGATTTTGTTTTTTGTGTGTGAGAGCGTCGAATGCCAACTGCAATAGGTAATTACCCTAAATTACGATAGTATCAGTCGACTATTCAATTATCCCAACAACCAGGTCAAATTTCAAAGCAATTGTAGTCATTCCTCTCAACTGGTATTCTCATGGGGTGGCCGCAATGGGGAATATATAGACTTTTCAAACGCTCACACAAAACACACTGCACATTTTAATGAAGAGATACAATTTTAGTATTTGCTTTTCTCAATTATAGTAAACAATGTCAAGGATTCATTTTTGTCTTGTATATTTACTTTCCTCTTCGTTTTTTTTTTTTTTTTTTTTTTTATAATCAGCTGAGGCTTTGTCAGCCATTCTTAATATTTTTTTTACTTGTATTTACCGTCATCTTCATTTTTTATTAGATGAAGCATTGTCGGCCATTCTTAATAATTTTTGACTAGTATTTACTGTCATCTTCATTTTTTATTAGATGAAGCATTGTCAGCCATTTTTAATAATTTTTGACTAGTATTTACTTTCTTCAAAATTTAAAATATTACCCTTTAAATGTATCTTTTTTTTTTTTTTTTTTTTTAAGCAATCATTATTTCAAAACGGAAGTTTCTTCTATATTTAATGGGTTAATATTCTTTCCTTCGAAAACTTCCCCATGAAAATCGCATTTAAATTTACTATTTATTTTTTTCCACAATAGGAGTAGTTAGTTACGCCTATCGTCCGTGTCACACTCCTCCTAGGTCTTTTGAACAGGAGTAGTGGTTTAGCACTTGTTTCGTGTTTAGGATTGGGTTTCCGGCTCCTTCTAAATTATTCTAATTCTTTTTTACTCTTAGTAGCCTTCCTTCAGTCTTAGTGGCCTTATCGCCTTGCTTGAGAGTGAAATGATTTCAAAGAATGTTTAGTTTATAAGTAGTGCTTTTCAAAATTACTTAAATACAAATTGCACAAATGTAGAGAGCCTTACGCAGGGTTCGTGTTTAAGTACATTTTGAAATTGGTTTTCTGTCTCTTAGACTGATTACTAAACAAGACTAGAGATTAAAGTCTGTCCTGCTATTTAACCCATAGTTGAGGGGAGAAGTAGACTCGTGCCTTTCCCAAGTATGAAGAAAACACAAGTTGCCAGAACCAAAATCTGATCAGAATGAGGCAATTTCATTTTTTCTGTCATTAACTAATAATGGTAATATTAGACGTTACTTTATAAGGAAACATTCGACATTCTTTTACCAAGCAGCCAGTAATGTTGTCGGTTGAAATTTATAAAATGTCTCTCTTAAAATAATTTTTCAGGAAAATGAATTCCTCAAGTCTAGTAGCTGTTATCACTCTTTCCAGTACTGACAGGTGTTTCCTTCCTAGCCTTTTGTTTGAAGTAGTGTTGAATGTTAACATCTTGATTGTCATTATTTTCTCTTCGAGTTACACGAGTTATCTATTTTACTTGTTGCTGCTGTTAGAAGTTCTCTAGTCATGTGGTTTCTGTTATTTGCTACAGTTCTTTGTTTGTGATTCTGGGCTGCTGTTTAAAATCCCCACGTGATGTGGTTTGTGTTATCTATTCTTTGTTTGTGATCTCGTAACACCTGACCACGATGTCCAAAGAAGAATAGTCTTCAGAAAGACTCACAGGCTTCACTCACTCAAATCCGTTCATTTATATGAAAGTCTTGATCTGACAAGACTAAGAACATGACTCGAATTTTCAGGTTAATGTTTTGATTTTGTAGCAATTGGAGGTGTTAGGCAAAACTACCTCTAGCACAGCTTAGTCTATTTTCAATTTCCATTTTTTTTTTTTTTTTTTTTTTTTTTTTTTGTTATAACTGATCAATATGCAAAGGTATTTGAAGTGTTTTGTATTTACTAATTCTAGATTATATACTTTTTTGATGGATTCTGGGTAGGTGCCATCACTGCTTTCATTCCAATTCCAGATCATAGTTTCTATTTTGGAAAGGTTTGTCTTGAGTCCTATTTCTTAGCACACTTGGGCAGAGGATTTGGATTTTCTGTTAGGTCATGCACCTCTTTCCATTTTCTTTCCCAGTACAGGGGACAAACTAGAATGAATAAAATAGATGGGGTTAAAAATATGAGAACGAATGCAACAAATACATGAAGAAGGCCAAAGAGTACAATAATCAATACACTATGCAGGGATGGGCCAGTACAAAGGTCTCGTTTACTCCCAGAAACTATGATAAGCCCCCACCACAAACTGACAGATCCCTCCCCCAAATCTATGATGTCCCCCACCCTACTACATCTTAATTTTCATGAGGTAGTATTCATATAAAATACAAATTTTATTGTAATCTAATTATGTACAATAATGGATCATATGCAATATAGGTGAACAATTTAACTAGAAAAATTGAAAATAAATACAATGTATTGAAACACAAATTAGAAACATGTTATAATAGATCATTCCATCTTAAATAAATCAACAATATTTTGCGACAATTTTTAACATCAACTTGAGATTTTTCTTGTTAAAAACTTGAATAATTTTAACACATTCAACATCATGGATTAAAAATATTAAATTTTATAAAGTGTTTTTCAAGACTTATCGTGAGCAAAACAAATTCATGGATTTGGATGAAAGACAATTCCCCAGAATGTCAAAATCTACAAAAAATTTTCATCAGTTGTGCTTAGTTTAATTTATAACGTATATAAATGAAAGTAGAAATAGAAAAAAAAAAAAAAAAGTAAATGTTGATAAGATATAATGAGAATACAAGGCACTGTCCAATCTGATCCCCCACCCCCGGGGTCAGGGGGTCAGGGTTTCAGGGGTAGGACACCATAAAACCAGATTTATTCTGGAATTTTAGACAATTTTTTAAAAAATATTTTATCCTTCCATGACTGCATTTTTATTAATTTATTTATGAAAATTTAAGAGTCAATAAAATTAAAGATAAATATTGATGAATCCATGAGATTTGTATATATGCACTAGAGGTCAAACATCTGGAGCCATCTTCTGGATTTCGAAGAATCACTTAAAAATTGATGGTTGCATGTCTTTTTCAAAAGTAATTTGCTAGCACTCTTCGGGCTTAAGACTTTCTCTTCCTGAAGAGTTTTATATATTTAGTAATAATGATAACGGAATTTAACCAAAACTGGCATCCCAAATATCCAGGAACCGGTTCTCTAGAGATGGATACTCTTTAGGAACCTATTCTGCTTATTTTCTTTTTAATCTCTGAATGGAAACAAATCACTTTATTGTATCAAAAAGAATTAAGCCATTTTGATAATTTAATAGAAAAACATTTATTTATTAAGATATTTGCAGATTGAAATTCTTTTCTCATATTTCTGTTCAGAAGTACGATGCTTTTTGACTCGAGTGTCATCAGCTGTATTATGGTTTCTTAGCCACATTTGAACTGAATCACTGCAGTCCCAAAGATTCAATGGAAGACCTATCAAATTTATGACTCAAAGATTTGCCACAGTTTTAACCTCAAGATGATTTCTTTTGTCAGAATAAAAACCCTCTTTCAGCTTCTGCAGAACTTACGTATTATTTATATTTTTAGCTCTTTGGATAGTTTTGGGTACAACATGTTTATAGTATTTTCTCGTTACATTTTCAACATAATCATGGAAATTACTAACAGATCTCATAGCAAAATACTTTACAAAAGTTCCGTAACTTCTCTTCAGCATCTTTTTCCAAATTCCAAGAATCTGATTCACAATATCAACTAAGTCATCTGCTAAGAAAGCTGGTTCACTATGTCGTGCGGGACAATATTTCTCTCTAGAATCTATTTTGCATATCTATAAGTCTCAGCAATATTATTGGCCCTGATCTGGCAGCTTGGCTTCAGTCACTTTCCCATTGTGGTAAAGTTGCTTCTCTGTGCTTTTTCTATAGATAGTTTCATGGTAATTGTTTGGATGAGCTCTTCACTATGTTACCAAGATGTTTTGAATTTAAGCCCAGTACTAGACTGGTGATGAAATCTCATTAATTTGCAGTTAAGCTCACTAGATGTAACTGCAAATTCTATGCTAACAGTTTCTTTTCTTGCACTTCTCACTTATGGAACTCCCTTCTGGCTTCATGCTTTCCATTCTTTAATCTGCAAAAATTTAAATGCAATGTCAGTTGCTATGTACTGTCCTCCTGGTTACTCTTTTCTCTCATTATTAATGTTTTTATTTCTAATTCTTCCACAACCAGTAACCCTTTGTGTTTTACTGCCTTAGTTCTTTACTGTTGTGTAGTTCAAAAATATTTATTTTTAATTTTATTAACTGTTAAATTTTACAAGAATTTTCAAATTGTTTATTGATGGAATTGCCTGAAACATTTTCCAATAGTATTTATTTATCTGATTTTCTTTGTTTTCAGGATGAAGAGGAGTATATTGGATTCGCTACGTTGCCCGAGCAAGTCCATAGGAAGGCTGTTAAACGAGGATTTGACTTCACTCTGATGGTTCTTGGTGAGTTGTCTTTTTTTTTTTTTTATCGTCTTACCCCTAGCAAGGCAATAAAGCCACTATGATACAGTGGGTTGCTGAGTGTGAAAGAAAAAGAGAAAAAGATTGATTTGTTTGAGAAAATTGGGATTTCTAGAAGGCCAGTGGAGTAATGGATAGTGGCTCTAATTGAGGTATCGGAGAGCTGAGTTCAAATTCCAGTCAAATCCATTACATTCACTAATACCATTGGAAAGGTATAAATCCTCTTTTCCCCCCAACTATGGGTAAATAGCAGGACAGATCAGGTTCTAAAGCCTTGGATGGCAACTGGTCTACTGCAGAAAGAAATGGCAACTTAATAATCAGTCATGTATCCAAAGATGCATGATCACCTAAGTATGTATCATGAATGGCACATAACTAACTGATCCTTGTGCAGCAACCAATCTAGGAAAAGGGCAATCCCAAATTTAAAACTAGCCTGAAGAGAGATGGGCTCCATCAGATTATTTTACCTAAGGCTCATCTACATCTGGTTACAATACATGTGGTGCACAAATGATACTTTGGGTTACTGGACTAATGTGTGCATTCTATGATGACATTGTCTTCATCAGATCTATGTCGCATCTGTTTGTCCTGGGTATGACATTAAACTACATCTGGCAGCAAGGCCTCTGGTCAGGAAATTGGACGTTTTGAGGAGTGTGGAACCACCCCTTAATTGCTGTTTTTCCCAGGTTCACCCTGACCAGCAGTGGTAACACTTGTTAGGGTCCCAGCTATGGGCAAATAGTGAACACCCCAAACAAAAAACACTATGAAAGTATAAAACTATCTTTTTATAGTAAAAATACCAGTAATACATTTTATATATAAAAAAATTAGCAACAATATATATTTATAGTAAAATTACCAACAATAAATTTTATCTGTAGTTGCCGGCATAGAAATGCATTCAAGATATATTTATTTGAAGCGATAAAATTCTGTTCAAAATATTTAGATTTTGGCATTAAATAACCCATGGAGGTTGATATGCCGCTAAACAAAATCAACCAACCAACAATACCTATTTATAGTATATATTTAGTTGAAGCCATAAAATAGTGTTCAAAATATTTAGATTTCAGCATTAATTAACCCATATGGGTTGATATGCCGCTAAACAAAATCAATCGACCAACATGAAAGAACTCTTTCATTACATTAATTCATATAATATTCTACAATTTCTTAAAGAAATCAAACTGTATTCCAAAATATAACTCCAACAAAACTACATAATAAAACACACATATCACCGCCTCTAGTAATCATGTCCACACAAATATGTATATGCACAAAGCTGAGTATTATCTACCATGTATTCAGTTGTGAAAGTAGAACAACATGTACTTTTATTACTTCAAAGCTCCTAAGAAGATTAAATTTTGGCATTAAATGACCCATAAGAAGTTGATATGCCATCAAATCAACTAATAAATAAGACTAGATATCCTCATCTGCAACTGTTATTTTACACATAATGGAAGGTAAGAGTAGATTCATGCCTTTCCTAAGTGTATTTGGAAGTCCCTTATCTGGTAATGCTGTGTTATAATTGCACTGGCTGAATACACATGTGAAACCTCATTACAGAATTGTAAAAAAATGTAATACTTTTTGAGTTTAAGTAATATAACTTTAACACATTTTGTGCTCAGAATAGCTCCAATAAATTGAATTTCTATATTCATATATATTAACCAATCAGTGACATCATATGAGATCCATGGTATTCTTTGAATTTGCAGACAATAACTATTTGTTGTTTGCTATAAAATTTTAGTTCATTTCAGAATATGAACAACAATATTTTCCCTCCTTAAAATAGATATTTATAAATTGGGAAAATTTTTTATTAACCAGTAAGATTAATAAATCTAATTTCTTCTTTTATGAAAATGAACAATTTTTGTTTATTAATTTAATTTTTCATTTAACATTTGACGAGGCTTGTCATTCGTTTGTTATACAAAAAAAATGAAATTCTTACACTTAATTACTCACATTTTCGCATATTTATTCAAATGTATTATATTGGGGTGAATTGATTTTAAAAAAAAAAAAAAAATAGCTATCTGGGTTGAAACCCAAAATGGTATTTCTTTGACCAATAATTCAATCTTTTTTCATTTTTGCCTTTCAGGTGAGACTGGCTTGGGCAAATCTACCCTAATCAACTGCCTGTTCCTCACAGAACTTTACAAGGACAGACAAATCAACAATGTCGAAGGTAAGACAAACATTTTTCTTTTTTGCAACAAATTATGCAGCACTTATTTCAGTTAACCACATTACTTAGAATGATTACTTTGCTACTTACATAAATGTAAAAACAGAAATGGCTCTACAATTAACATTTCCAAGCCATTATCCCTTACACCACCCACACATCAAACCTTGCAGCACTAGGTATTCCCAAACAGTCACTCATCTAGGTACTAACCAAGCTCAACATTGCTTAACTTCAGTGATCATACAGGAACTAGTGTTTCAATATGATGCGGCCATAAAACTGCAACAAATTATGCAGCACTTGTTTCGATTAAATGTGTTACTTTGAACAATTACTTTGCTATTTACCTAAATGTAAAAATAGTCTTAGTTGATTTTTTTTTTTTTTTTTTTTTTTTTTTTTGAGATTTTAATTATTGTAGTGCTCCAAGTCTTACTAATTAACCCATAGCTGGGGGGAGTAGAGGTTGATTCATATCTTTCCCATAGGGAAAACATTTATATTCTATAAGCATTTTTCTTTTTCAGACCGAATACACAAGACGACACAAATCGAGAAAAAACAACTGGAAATTGAGGAGAGGGGTGTGAGGTTGCGACTAACGATTGTTGACACACCGGGCTTCAATGACTCTGTGAATGGCGAAGAAACGTAAGCAGTGTATTTTATTATTTTGAAATTACAGTCACTCAAGGCAAGTGCCACTGTTTGTTGAAATATATAAAATCCTTTTCTTAAAATAATATTTCTGGAAAATCGGTTTCTCAAGTCCAGAGGCTGTTGTTTTTTCCAGTATTTCCTTCCTAACCTTTTGTTTGAAATAGTGTGGAAAGTCAGCATCTTGATTATTATTTTCTCTTCAAGTTACATATGCTATCCATTTTAGTTGTTGCTACTGTTGAAAGTCCTCTGTTATTTGGTACTGTTCTTTGTAACACTGTAGTGCCAGTCACTGCGCTAACACCCGAAACCTGAAATCTACAACTTTGTGAAAAGTTGTAATTTTTTAAAACCATATCTTATAACCAGTTGTACGAAGGGTTGGTTAAAGTCAAATTATTCACTCTCTAAGAAAAGAAGTGTTTTTCTAGTGTTCCTGATGAAGGATCAAGTGAGAAATGTTCCTTGTCAATGCATAAGGAGTGGTAGTAGGAATGACTTACAGGATGCTGAAGTTGAACTGATTTTGTTTACACCATTCTCTACCAAGTATTCCAAGAAGTAGGACCCAAAATTAAACCTTTCCAAAGCAGAAACTATGATGGGGAATTGAAATGAAAACAGTTATGGCACCTACCCTGAATCCATCATAAAATTTCAGCATTTCAAATTCCTCAGTTTATAAATCAGTTAGAACAAATTTAGTATAGGAGATAAGGAAATTGAACATAGAATAGACTAAACTATAGGCTGTTTCACCAAACCCCACAAATTATGAAATATTAGTAAATATTGTTAGAAATATTAGTAAATACTAAACATTTCAAATACCTTAGTGTATGAATCGGTTAGAACAAATTTAGTATAAAAGAAAAGTGCCAGAAGTAGTTTGGCCCAACACTGCAAATTACTACAAAACCAAAACATTAACCTGAAAACTGAAGCCAATTGACTGTGAAGAAAGACCACAAAAGTGCATTTCTGGGCTAGCAACCCAACTTACGCAATTCAGTAAACACTACAGAAACGCATGCGAATAAATACCCCCAGGGAATCCCAAGAGGGGGGGGAAACATGAGACCCTCATTAGGATGGATGAAATGGAAACGAGCCATGATACGGATATATGGACAATGAGACTGAAATGCCCAAGTGGAAAGTTGTGCAAAAATATGAGCGGCCTAAAAATCCATCAGGCAAAAGTTAAGTGTCCGGTGCTGTTGAACCAACAGCAGTGCACAGGAGTTTCTCCTGGTGAGACGCAGGAGGTGCAGGGCCAGGAAGCTCACCACAGTGCCCAGTCTCTCCAAGCAGATGTTCAAGTGGAGCCTGATACTCCATTTCGAAGAAAGATTAAATGGGCCTCCCGCCAGTGACAAACACGCCTGGCACGAATTTGACGTGGTCATTGGTGAGATTCTTGAAACAACATAGAGATGTTCGGTGGATAAACGACAATGTCCAAAATCATCACTAGTTATGCAGCAGGAAAATTTGGGTATGAGGAGCCGAAGGAAAAGAAGGGTATTAGCAAAGAAAATAGGAAAGGGTTAAATTTAGGAACATTAGATTACCTCCTCGGTTATCCATTGAAACTGCTATCCACCAAAAAAGAAGCCAGTCCCCACCATGGACCATTTAAAAGATAGTCCGAGCAGCGGATTGGTTGATACAAACATCCAATCAGGTGTGCAGAAAATGTGGTCTTTCTTCGTCTAATTCTTTAAAAAGGTCAGAGTAGCTGTTAGCGTTTGATTGTGAGGGGGAATCTAGGATTGATCTCTCCTGATTAGGTCAACTTGGTGATGGGGAGTATGATGTTGAAAAACCCGAAACTCCCTGATGAACCAAGTCAAATTACATCACTGACGACCGCCTCCGGTGCTTACTTAAGAGCGTATTTTTGAATGAATTATGAAATAGCTTTGTCAGATTGAGATTTTCCTACAGATGTCATGCATGGCGCCAAACTTCTTCTGAAATATCTAAACTGTCAGCTGTATACAACCTCAATGATCAAAAATGGCTTTGAGTAAATGCAGAATGTAGATCTTGGTGAAGACCATCCTTCTTCGAACAGGTTGGACCGGCACTACAGAATCACAAAGCACTATAGCAGATAACAGAAACAGTATCACTTTAGGACTTCCAACAGCAGCAACAAATAAAATGCATATCACATGTAACTCAAAGAGAAAATAAGGATGTTGATGCTTCACATTACTTCAAATTAAACGTTAAGAAGAAAACCCACAACAATACTTAAGAGCGATAACAGTAACCGGACTTGAAAAACCTATTTTTCTGAAAAAGTTGTTTTAAAAGAAAGATTTTAGTAAATTCTGAAAGGACCAACACATGAATGCTAAGAAATTCTCAAGATTGAGGGTTTAGCAAATATTAATCCTTCTTTCAACATTGTGGTCTGGAGCTACAGATTCACAAACTAAGAATTGTACCAAATAACAGAAACTATATCTTTTGAGGACTGCCAACAGCAGCAACAACTAAAATGAATAGCACGTGTAACTCTAAAAGAAAATGACAACATAATGAACATGTAGACATTTCATGCTATTTCAAATAAAAGGTTAGAAAAGAAATTCTTATTAATACTGGAAAGAGTGATAACAGCTCCTGGATATGAAAAAACCCATTTTCCTGAAAAATTGTTTAACCCCTTTCCTAGACGGGCATATACGTTTTTACTGAAAGTGTCTTTTTCATACACAGATGAATAAATACATCCATAACATAATGTTCAAAAACCAGCTACAGACGTGTTTGTATATCCTTCTTGATTCCTTTTATACCCTTCTGAGCTTGAAATGAGTCCAGTTACCAACTCCTACGTCTGTTAGAGATTTAAGCCACCACTCGGGTATTTCAAAGTGCTTCAATTTCTTAGTTACTATATTAAAAACAAATAAAAAAAAAATTTGTCTGAAAATGAATCGTTTTTCCCAAAATAATTGGAAAAGGGGTTAAGAGAAAGATTTTATAAATTTTCACCGAAAGCAATACTGTCTGCTCGGTCAGTAAATGCCAAATATTTCCTTATAAGGAAACTGCTAATATTGCCATTAACATTAACATAATATCTACACAGTAACTGCTGTTCAGAGAGAAAAAGAATTTATATACACTCCTGGTCCAAAGGGTTAAAAAATATAGAATACCATTACTTTAATCAAAACATCTTTGTGAAACATTTACATTTAATTAGAAAATTCTAAGCTTTTAATTGATTAATTTAAAGATTGAAAAAGTATCTTTCTGGTTGGTCATAAAGATAAGACCATGTAAATAAAAATAGAAAATACAGAACAAATAAGTCACAGCAACAATTTAATATTCATTATATCCCCCATATATATTAAAGTAAGTATTTTATATATTTTTTTTTTTTAACCCTTTTGTATCTGGTCTTAAGATTTTGACCAGGAGTGTATTGTTTGGGATTTTAGAAAACACTCCAGTAATTCTGTCATTTTGAGACCGTTATAAATTTGTGTCTGACAATGTTTAGTAAGTTATACAAATGCACACATGATGTACAATCAAAATTCTGATTGAATTTGACCATTGTCAAAATTAGGTGCTAGGGTAATTTTACTATCTCATACGAAGCAGTCTATTGCCTGCTTTTTGCACCCTTACTCACAAAGGGTGGCATCAAAACTCTGTACTTCCCTAAATGAAATCTTACTTGTCAGTGATTTCTTTAAAGATAATGCTCGGAATTTTATATTAGAGGTCATGTAGATTTTATCAAATTCTGAAGTTTGAAGCCAATTTCTTTTTTTAATCATTCTAAAGGGGGGCAAAATTGTACAGTTGCTGCTCAAGATTAGGGCAAGTATCAAATTCTCTGAGACAAGATGGTGCCAGAAGGCCTTTAGGAATTTGTGTTTCACATTGAATAAAGGAAATCTTTCTAGTGATAAGAATCTTCATAAAAATAGACTTGATATTTGGAGTGGCCGATTAGCTGTTTTTATTTTAGCAGAATATCAATCTTTATGGGTTATTTAATGCCTAAATGTAAATATTTTGTGCACAATTTTATTTTTATTTTTTTGGAAATAATAATGGTTTTACTGATACAAGTTCTACTAATTAACCCATAGGTGGGGGAGGAGATGGATTTAAACCTTTTCCAGGGGTATTTGTGCATAAGTGAATATAATGAACCCAAGTGGAATTGGAATTCTGCTCGCCAATTAACAGTTATTATCCCTTATACCACCAACACATCCAAGCTTACAGCACCTAGTACTCTCAAGTGGTCACCCATCTACGTATTGACCAGGCTTGATGTTGCTTAACTTCTGTGATTGTACAGGGACTGGTGTTTCAACAGGATGTGGCTAAAAGCCATACATTTGGAGTGATGAGAACAGGAAAAAAGTGAAACTGTGATATCAAATAATCCTCAAGAGTATTAATTTCTTGTTCTTAATAAAAGGAAATTGGTCACTATGCTTGTATTATTTCAAACTGGTTTTATTGATAAAAGTTCTACTAATTAACCTATAATGCAAGACTGTCCAGCTGGATTGAGTTCTGTCATTGGCGTGTTTATGAAAAAATAAATATGCAAAAATTTGCCTCTCTCTCTCTCTCTCTGCCAGGTGCCGATGGCCTAGGGGTTAGAATCTCCAACTGATGCCAAATGAGTCGGGTTTCGGTCTTGGCTTGAAGCGATCGAATGTCTAGCCACACTGATGAGCTGTGATACAGCTAAACAGTCTGTCTGTGGATATGTTATTACAGACACATTTCAACCAGGTACCCTCTGATGTCCATTGATTAGTTGATATGGGATATCAATTGGTTATTGAGATATTTTGTTCCTTTGATATCCTGTTGAGTCAATTTATCAAGTAATCTCCACCCTGCTTTCTACTGCTTCTCTTGTCTTTAAGCTTTGAGTATTAAGTTAAAACCTTCTTTCCTCATTCAGTATCTTGGTCGTCTTTCTAATTTCTTGTATTATTTTGATTTTTAGTTAATATAGATGTTATTATAGGTACAATGTTTCTACCAAGTACACTCTGGTCATCATCAGGAGTCAGTTGATATGGAATGTTGATTATTGTGACATTTTGCCCACGTAATACCAGTTACGTTAATTATGTGTCACTATCAAATCCAAGGATTGAATTCCTAACCACAAGATGACAGTAACACATGTATTACAAAAATCCTATATTTACTAAGATCATTAGTGTTGTGTTTTGGGAGTGTTTTATATTTAATGTCAGATTGTTTTTGACATTTGGTTATAATTGTAAATTTGTCATCTATGTAAATACATGTGAACATCAGTGTGTCGCATTTTTTCAACTTTACTCTTAGATGCCATAGTCCATTTTGGAATCAGTCCAACTCTGTGAGACAAATTAAAAACTTCCTGAGATGGATCCAGACCAACAATCCTGAAATTTTGGATTCTAAAGTTTACATTACTGCAATTTTTTTTACATGATTTTTTTTTTAGACAAATTTTTTTTGTACAAATATCAATTTTTTAACTTGGAAATAATTGAAATTAATTGTGAAATCCAGTGAAAGTAACCCATCAAATAAAAATAATTGTTTGTATGGAAAGTATGGACCTACATGCATCAAACTATCTTTAAGTTAAAATGGCAGCAGAAGAATTATCACTGAACTTTTAAAGATAAGCTTAAATATTAATGCAATGATGAATTTTGAGCTCTTCTGTAGTTTATTATTGCCTATTGCACATGGCAGCAGTATGCCTTGCAAAAAGAAATCTCCATCAACAGAGGACCCCATTGCAGTCAAGAGCCAAGGCTTCAAAAAATAAAAGAAAGTCCCATGCAAATGAAAACCTGGATCAAATGGCAGCCAAGAGAGCTTCCAATGCTGAGAATATGCAAAGACTTAGGGATTCTCAAATTCCCAAGGAATCTGGAGGCCCAATCAAGATCCCTTCACAGGAGCTAGCTTAAATGCTGCCTGATAGAACAGCTTTTAAGCTAGTATTCTAGATAATTGAAATTCATCTCCAAAGTATAATGTAAATTACAAATATGAGGTGAAAACCTTCTTCATTTAACTGTTTTGTCTTGTTTTTCATTTCATTATTAGTTTTAAAACATTTTTATTATTTAATTAATCTTGCAATCGCATTGTTATTCTACGTGAATTTTTTATCTCTGTCATATGTAAGAAAGAATTCTGTTTTTTAAATAATTAAAAGTAAAAATATCCAAAGAAGGCTGATACAACACATTCCATAAAAAAAAAAAGACTGCCATATTTAAGCAATTTTGAAATTGCATTGTTTATATTTTCTGGTAGTCTAGAAATTTTGTCCCCACAATTCACTCTAGTATTTTATTTTATAAATATTCTGCTTTTTTAAATCAATAAAAGTAAAAATATCCAAACAAAGCTAGCACGACACCTACCATAAAAAATGACAGCCATATTTTCTACATCAGTGGTCAAGGAATTTTATCTTTATGATTAACGATATTATAATAGGCATAACATTACAAGTAACTGTAATTACAAATTTTAAAAAAATGCATTTTCCAGCAATTTTGTTAATTTGTTTTCCGCCATATAAATTCACTAAAATTATTTGCAAGCATCTGGATTTATACTTTTTTCTCTCTTCAGAATTGACAACAAAAAGGTTAAACAATATTCAGATTGTTTATTTACAGGAACAGTGTTTAATTCTTTTGTTGTCAGTTCTTGAGAAGAGAATGCATAAATACATTTTGGATTTTATTAAAATTTTAGAAAATAGTTTTTAAAACAAAACTTATAGAGAGAGTATACTACAATAGAGATGTCAAGAGAAAATATGTCCTTTTGATACACCATTTTGTTTCAGTCACATATGTTAATATTTGCCAAAATGATTTATTCAAAAATCTTTTTCTGTGATATTATTAGCTTTGCAGCATGACTTAATCCCATCTCAGTTTTTAATCTTCTCCAAGATTAAATTTATTTGCCCTTTTTTCTCTTTACAGTCACAAACCCATCATAGACTACATTAACTCCCAATTTGACCAATATTTCCAAGATGAATGTGGACTCAACAGGAAAAACATTCAAGACAATCGAGTCCATTGCTGTCTTTATTTCATTTCACCATTTGGTCATGGGTAAGTAACAAAGTTTTCATATTATTATGGGATGCAGACATTTTTTTAAAGATCTTAGTTACAGGATTGAGATAAATATGGGGTCCATAAACCTGAAACAAACACAATCACCAAAGATGTCAAATGAAAAACGTTACGTTCTTGATGTCTTATCAGTTTAATGCCTCCAGTATAAACCCATTGTCTGCGTAGTAGCAGGCAAAGTTTAATAAATACAATAAAATGAAAAAAATATTTCTTAAATCTTAAATTATATCATTTAAATATCATCTTAACACCAGCATTCTTAAGGACTAATTTAATTTCTGAAAGCAGATACTTGGATAAGCGAAAACAAAAGATCTAAGACCCTGTACCAAAGCAAAGGTCAAACCTACATGCACTCCCTGACCACTAACTTACCTCAATATCAATTCACTAAGAACAAGGAATCATAGTCAGTCCTCTCTCCCCTTTTACCAGAAAATGAGACAGGCTGGTCCACCCTACTCTAACCACCAAAGAACATCAGGACAACTGCCTGCTACAAAGGAGGAGTAGTCTTGCTCTCCCAGTGTACCATAGGCTACAAACTCACAAGATGTCTACAAATTTGTATTTGTCTTAAAATAAAAAATAAACCTTCTAAAATGTGTTCATCCATTTTGAACGTAAGAACAAACATTTTGTACCAACCTCTACAATTGTAATATGGATATTTAATGATATTATACAGGAAACATTTTTAACAGCGTTAATATGGATGTAGGATTTGCATGGTGTCCATGAACATGAAATAAATATGATGGTCACCAACGACAGGCAGATCATAATCTTTGTCTTCTCAGTTTTATATCTCCAGCATAAACCATTTTATTGTAATGGAAAGATATACTAGACTAATGCTAAAGAAAAGGCTAATCTGGGATGAGGTGCCGATAGATACGATGAAAGGGGAATCGGTGTGATGGTCATCAAAGACAAAAGAATGAATTTTAAATATCGTTTTAAATGTTTTCTCAATTTTACATCACCCATATAAGCCATTTACTCAGGAAATCTTTGGTGATTAAGCACTCTATAACACATCTTCTTCACAAATCCAAAAATATTTCTCAAACTGTTATATGGGTTTACCAGTACAACACTCCAACCTCTAATTAAAACACTCCAACATCTAATTATTTTAAACATATACCTTGATTTTCAAGTTCATAAAATAGTATTTAATATTCGATTTCCTGATATCTTCCTGGTGACTATGGGCAATCATTTTGCTGACATCCTGCTGGCAGCAGTGGCCAGTCAGTTTATTGATATCCTCTTAAGAGGTACAGACCATCAGCAATTAGTTTGCTGATGTTCTACTGATGGCCACAGTTGGTTGGTTTCCTGGAGTCTTTCTGACAGACACGAACAATCGACTTACCGTTCTTTTCTTCATGTCCACAGCAGGTTCATTTACTGGCGTCCTCCTGGTGGGAACTGGTAATTGGTTTAATGTATCTGATATGGGAAATCTGTATACTGTCATTTTCCTGGTGAGCACTGACAATCTGTCTACTATCGTTCTCCTGGTGGCCACGAGCAGGCAGTTTACTGTTGTCATCCTGGCCAGCATGGACAGTTGGTTTACTGTCATCCTTCTGACCAGCATGGATGATCGGTTTACTTTCCACCTCTTGGAGGCTCGGTTCGCTTTCCACCTCCCGGCGGTCATGGAGGCTCGGTTCGCTTTCCACCTCCCGGCGGTCATGGAGGATCGGTTTGCTTTCCACCTCCCGGCGGTCATGGATCAGCAGTTTATTGTTGCCCTTCTGGCAGGAAAATATGGTCAGTTTGCTGATATTGTATTAGAAATATGAATGCTAATTTTACTACATATAGGTTTAATTACAGAATGATTTAATGAATCTATATTGATATGCATTTTCATCTCTTTGCAGCTTAAAACCTGTTGACATTGACATCATGAAGAAAATTCATCACAAAGTAAACATTGTACCTCTTCTGGCCAAGGCTGACATTCTCACACCCTCAGAAGTAAAACAAAGAAAAAAAAAGGTGAGAAAATAGTTTCAAATTCTGTTGTTTCATTTATTATTGAAGGCTCCCTAGATACTTCTACCTGACAACGTTTCTACATTATTCAGACTATTGTCCTCATCTGTCGTTGCCATATTTATCACATTTCGGCTGTTGTACGCTCCGGCCTTCTCCAGGTGGTTGGAATGTTGAACTGAACCCTTTATTTCACTCATTGGGATAGACTGTTCTAGTTCCACATGCCATGTCTAATGGATGTCAGTTATCAGTTATCTCCTGTTAATTCCCCTCTCCAAGTTCTCCACTGCCTTAACCCGGTATTGAACTCACTAACACCTTTATCCACTGTGCCATGTGTCCTTAAGGATCCAGTGACAGGATCCAAAGAGTGTGAGTACAATACCTGGTTAAAGTGGTGGAGAACTTGAAGAGGGGAATTAACAGAAGATAACTGATAATTGACATCCGTTAGACATGGCACGTGGAACTAGAACAATGTACCCCAGTGAGCAAAATAAAGGGTTCAGTTCGACATTCCAACCATCTGAAGAAGGCTGGAGTGTACAATGGCCGAAACGTCGTGATAAATATGGCAACACAAATGAGGACAATAGTCTGAATAATGTAAATAGTGTACATAATACCTCATCTCAGAAATATAGACAATGTTTTTGTTTTTATTGTTATTAACACAATTCAGTCCCATATGTTCTCCACCCTCCTTCAAGTGTAATTGTATCAAGGCTTTAGCATTAACATGAGCCTCCTTTTCTAACACAACCCTCTTTTTTATTTAGACAATAGAATAACAAAACTGTAGTTTTAAGGCTCCTATAAATAGTGAAACTGAAACCATAACGGTTTTATAATTCTTTTATCTCCAGGCTGAAGACATACTTCATTTTTTAACACACCTCCCTTTTTTAAACACAACCCCATTTTTAACATGATTTGCTTTTTTTAACATGAATCTCCTTTTTTTTAATATAACTCCCATTTTTTAATACAAGCTAATGATTTTAAACCTCATGTAAGTAGAGAAACTGAAACCGTAACACTCAGTCCCATGATTCTGTTATCTTCAGGCTAAAGAGATGCCCATTTTTTGACACAGACTCCATTTTTAACATGATTTCTTTTTTTAAAAATTTTGACATGGCTCCCTTTTTATTAACACCACCCCGGCTTTTGTATTTAAGCAATAAAATAACAATACTGGGATAGAATGACTTCTAAAAGCTCATGTAAGTAGAGAAACTGGAACCATAACATGCAGTCCTGTGATTCTGTTATCTTTGCATTGAAGAGATAAAAAGGATGAAAAAAATAGTGACTTTTAAAAGCTCCAAAAAAAAAGCTGAAGATTGTATAAAAATAACAAAGATGAGGAGAATAGTCCAAAAAATATATAGAATGATAAATATTTTATCAACAGGGACAATTAGAGGTGCCACAGGAGTGTTCTAATTTAGCTGTGGAAAATTCCAAGATAAAGAACATTTCCTGAAAAAAAATATGAATTCTGTGATTTTGTACTTTTATTAATTATTTTTGACTTGTATTCACCTTGTTACCATTTTTTTAGATCAAATATCCACTAGAAGGGATCTTGGAGCAATAATAACGATTCTAATTTTAATTATTTTAATTCTCAGATGAAGACTTTTGGGGATAGTATTTTCTTTCATCTTATTCTTGCTTTTCAACACGCTTTTCTCCTGCCAACCATTAAAGGAAGAGGTTTGAAGTAAGAATAAAGAAATAACTTTAATGAAATTATTTCAATTCTCAGATGAAGACTTTTCCCAATTAATTTTGGGCTACTCTTTTATTCCATCTTATTCTTGTTTTTTAATACAACTTCCTAGGTTGGATATGCTTTGTGTGACAATTTTCAGGCGATGATGTCAACATATTCTATATCCTACCAACAGGATAAGGGATTGGAAGATATATTTTTGATAAGGCTTCAAATCAAGGACCCCTTTAAAAATGGTTCTCGAACATAAATTTTTGGTCATTTGGCTTCTCAGTTTCCAAGAGGAAATTTTAAAATTCTTTAATGGTGACGACTTCAACAGATGCGCTCAGATTTTAAATAAAATCGTTTTCTTTACAGATTAGAAACAACAATTTCAAAAATGTTCTTTTTTCTGTTGCAGATTCTCGATGAAATTCAAAAGCACGAAATCCAAATCTACGAATTCCCCGAGTGTGATAGTGACGAAGATGAGGATTTCAAGAAACAAGACCAAGAACTAAAGGTATGTCTTCTGTCCGAATTGATGGGAATCATGTCTTGATCCATCTTTACTTCAACCCAGTCTCAGATGAGCTTAGGTCACCCAAAAGGATACTACAGAATTTATTGGATACCGATGCCAATGTGATAGTGGTTGCAGGGACTGGGCAATTTTTGCTCTTGGCCTGTATATATGGCACCCCCACATTAAACCTTGGTTCGCATCTTGCCAGAGGTGGGTAAACAGATTAATCCCAGCCCTAAAAAAGAAGACTACACATAAAATGTAGGATATCATCTAATCTTCACCCTCTCTTCTTTTTAATTGGTCTCACTCCATACAAGGCAATAAAGCAACTAAGACACAAGGGGTTACTGGGTGTGGAAGGCAGAAACATTAATAATGAACAGGAAGTGGAAAGTGTAATCAGAAGGACAGTAGATAACGATTGACATTGCATTTAAATTTTAGCAGATTAAAGTTGGCTGGAAAACATGGAACCAGTTGGGAGTTCCACAAACAAGAAGTGCGAGAAAAACTTGTAGAATTTACAGTTACATCTAGCCAGTTAATTTTTTTTTTTTTTGTAATGGTAATATTAGCCATTTCCCTAGAAGGAAACATTTTGGATTAATTAACCAAGTAACCTGTACAGTTTTCAGTTGAAATTTTTAAAAATCTTTCTCTTAAAATATATTTTTAGGAAAACAGGTTTCTCAAGTCCAGTAGCTTTTATCACTCTTTCAAATATTGATGAAGGTTTCCTTAACTTTCTGAAGTGATGTGGAATGTCAACATCTTGATTGTCATTATTTTCTCTTTGAGTAACATGTGCTATCCATTTTAGTTGTTGCTGCTGTTGATAGTCCTCGAGTGATATGGTTTCTGTTATTTGGTACAGTTCTTCTGTAGCACCAGTCAAGAATGTTCAAAGAAAGATGGTCTTTGCCAAGACCCTCAAGCATGACTCAGTCTTTTTCACCATTGATCTTAGGAATGTTAGAGACAAGCTTGCTAACCATCAAGATACCCGCTCCAACACTATATAAACAGTCATCAATTCAACTCCACAGCAAAAAGTGACTCTGTATACACTTTTGACTCCCTCAGCAGTGTTTATTATTTTAAAAAGTGATTAGAATTTTAATAAAACCCAAACATGCTTCCCATTCATCTTTTGATCTTAAAAAAATTTAAATGCAATGCCTGTCATTATCTTCCATCTTAATTTCTGTTCTTTTATTGTCTCTAAATAATGTCCCCCCCCCTCATCTTCTGTAACACTTGGTAACCATTTGTGTTTTTGTGGCCTTATTGCCTTGCATGGGGTGAAACGATTAAAAGAAAACAAACGTTCCTAGCATTTGCCTGTCCTTCATCCAGGATGGCTAGGCATTTGCTGAAGACACCTAACCATTGAAACCCAATGCCAAGAACTGACAATAAAGGTGCCAGGAGTTTTGTTACCAACAGCAGCCAAAGCCACTACATGATGAAAGTTTCTATTGCTTTTATGCAATAAAGCTCATATATGTATATATTTTCCTCAGAGGATCTTTCTCTATAAATCACAATGCTGTACCATTTCCTATGTATGTGGTAGACTCCTAAGCCAAACCCTATAATCATTTTGCATATTGCCTGAGACAAAAGCATAAATAAATTCTCCTATTCTCTTTAACAATAACTCATCATTATTGTGTGGTACTTCTCATTCCTTTTCTGTTAATGTGAGTAATGGTACCCTGGAAAATACACTCAAATAAAGTCCTTTCACACTCATGAAGTGGAAAGATTATATTGAATCTATTGTTAGGTCTGGGTGAAATGATTTTTAAAAAATGTTCCTATCATTCCATGGTAAAAAAGACACAATTATGATTTTCTATTCTCATTTATTTTTTTTTCCAACATTGCTGTTTAAATGCCTTTTTCTTTGTTCTTGCAGAAATCGGTTCCATTTGCAGTCGTTGGTTGTAACAGTGTGGTTGAAGTAAATGGTAAAAGACTTAGAGGAAGAGTCTATCCATGGGGAATTGTTGAAGGTAATTATGTTGGTGTTACTAAAATTGGTGTGAAATTAGTTTATGAAATCTGGTAAAAAAAAAAAAAAAAAATGTCAGAATTGTGAAATCTGTTAAAGAAATCTGAGATCTGTTAAGGAATTGTCAGTATTGTGAAATCTGGTATAATAAAAAAATTGTCAGTATTGTGAAATCTGATATAATAAAAAAAAATTGTCAGTACAGTGTAACCCGGATATAAGAGAGTTGTCGGGACCGGAGACGAAGTCTCTTATATCCGGGTTTCTCTTATATCCGGATTTGGTCTATTTTATATACATTAACACAGGCTCTAATTTGGGACCAGAGAAAATCTCTCTTATATCCGGGTTTCTTATATCCGGGTTACACTGTATTGTGAAATCTGGTTAAAAAAAAACAAATTGTCAGTATTGTGAAATCTGGTAAAAAAGAAATTGTCAGAATTGTGAAATCTGTTAAGTCAATTGTCAGAACTGACAGATAAATGATAAAGATTGATGAATTTTTCTGCCAAGTCTGTTCTTTCAATGCTGCTTTTGTTCCTTTGTATAATTTCTGATTTAATTTTGTCAACTCTGAAATTAACTTTGTTAAAAATGCTTCTTTAAATTCTATTTCAGTTGATAATCCAAATCACTGTGATTTCATTCGCCTTCGACAAATGTTAATCAGGTAATTGACATTCTTTTGCCATTTCATCCACTTTATTTTTCCCTATACACCTTTCTTTGTGCATGTAATTAAGTGTGCATATTTTATTAACGTTCATGTCGACATGTTCTATCAAGTAGGGATCATTTCTTTGCCACTGGGTAGCCGTTTCAGACACAAAAGGAAACACACATTGACAGTTAAGATTCAACTCCTGAAAAACCTTTCTCTAATCTATCATTCCCATGCTAGTTCAGCCAATCAAAAGTGACTACTTTATTTTGTCTTCCATCTGACCTTGAAGGCCAACCTCAGAAAGTCTGAGCAGAGATACCATTCCCTCTAAAAATAAGTCTGCTAAATTATTTAACACTCAAACATGACTGTTAATATAGACCCTTAAATGGAAATTCTCTATATCTGGCTTTGTTGTCACCTGATCCCAATTTTATTTATTTGTTTTTTTTTCTTTTGCTCAAATTGAAGCCATTTGAAAGATCTGACTTCAAAGATTTATTATCTTGTTTTTCTATATGTATAACTTCCATTTTTATTATTTCAATCTCTTTTTGATATTTCAGTACACATATGCAAGACTTGAAAGATGTGACTGCAGACGTTCATTACGAAAATTACAGAGCTGACTATTTAGCCGACCAAATGAAGAACACCAACAAAGAACGCAAGTGAGTAGTATTACCATTCTGGGATAGAAACTGGTTCCCTTTTTGAAGTTTTTACCATTTCTCATCACTTTTTTTTTTTTTTTTACAATTGGTTGTATAACTGTTTTGTAGGGGTATGGAATTTGTACAACTTGCACTCTGACCCTTTCCAAAAACTCACCAAATGTGGGAGTGAGGGGTGGCGGGGGGGTGGAGTCCTGCAGATGCAAACCACTAACCATTGGTCTTTTTTGGAATAACAAACTCATATTTTTTTTCCGTGTGTTTCTTCACAAGGAATGGCGCCAACAAAAAAATATGGTTTACAGAAAGTAAGCAAATGTAGACATTTGTCAATATTTCCATCATAAATTTGGCAGATATCAGTCGGTTATGTGCCATGCGTGATACACACTTAGGCGATCATGTATCTTTCGATGCCTGACTGATGAGGCAAATTTTTTCCCACAGTAGGTTGCCATTCCTTTCTGCAGTAGACCAGTTGCCATCCAAGGCTATAGAACCCAGTCTGTTCGTTATTTACCCATAGCTGTGGCAGATATAGTGAATATTATTTTAAAAAATGGATCCTATCAGCTTCTGAGAATATTTTCATCCCCACTATGAAGAATATATAGTAGTGTGTTATTGGAGTCTTTCTTTTTCTTTTATCTGTCAGGTCCATTTAGAACATGGGCGAACATGGCTCTCCACAACTTCCTATCCATTGTAGCTCTAAGCAATATATGTTCCCTTATTATCACTCTCTGGCCTTGTTTTGCCATATATTTACACAGGCTCTTTAAGTAATATGATCATGGCTCTCCACAACTTCCTATCATCTGTAGCTCTGAGCAATATCTGTTCACTTATTATCCATCACAGGCACTGTTTTGCCATCCATTTACAAAGGCTTATTAAGTAGGTTGATCATGACTCTCCACAACTTCCTTTCCTTATTTACACAAACTTGTTAGGTAGGTTACTTGCTGCTCCCTTCTGCCCTTTTTGTCTTGTATATGACCTTTGAGTGTCAAATTCTCCAACCCTGCTTTCTTCATTATGTCTCCCCAAAACTTAAATTCTTTCTGATTCTACGTGTTGTCTTCATTTTTATTTCCCTTAAAACTTTCTCATAGCTTATATGGTATTCTCAGCATCCTTCTGTAGATCTACATTTCTCTTGCCTCAAGTCTCCTTTCCATATGTGTCCAGCATTCACTGCTATATAGATGATTATGTTGCTGTTAAGCACACTTTTCTTTGTTTCTATGTACATTTTCTTGTTTCTTAATTCTTTGTTTAGCTTTTGGAAGACCTCTTTTTTGCTTTTCTGATACTATGGACACCCACATAGAAAGGGGAGAAGTGGTTTATCTTGATAGACCAGCGAATGGGTTCTTTTGAAGTTTGGTCTTCTAAGTGGCATCCACTTTAACCACTTTGGGAATTAAATGAGTGGAGGAGGGATTTTTTGGATCAAAACCTGAAATAAGTTATATCCGGGTGTTGGTCTACATTAACGGGCATGCTTGAGCTCAGGGAAGACTTCTGACCCACCCTTGGCAGCAGATGGACGTGTCGTCCATATCGACATTTGGTTTTGCAAGAGTTGATTGGAGGTGAAAAAAAATTCAAGAAGAAAGTGCCAATGGCGGGAATTTGTTTATGGTGGCGATCATCTTGGCAGGAAGTGAGGTACGCACTTGATTTCATGACCTTCCACTGCAGCTCAAATGAAACCTGCAGAATCCAGTTATGAAAATGCAACGGACTGCCACTGTTTCTGTTGTTATTTCAAGTGGCACATTCTGTAGCATGTCCGTCATGTATAGCCCTCTTCATCCACTGGTTCAAGCACTGATGTCTGTTGTAATCATCATCATCCGTTTGTTCCAACATTGGGGTCTTTGGGGTTGGTCATGCTTATCCTGCATCCTCATCTTCAACCTTGCTGCCAAGGGTGGCTCTGTCAGAGTCCCTGGACCACATATATGGTGGATTCACCTATCGTGAAAAATAAATGAGGGTCAGCAGTGGATAGTACCTTTTTATTTTACACTTATGCATTCTAGCAGGGACTATTGTGGAGAAAATCAGGTAAGGGAAAGACATATTTCATTTATGCTTTCTTAAGTGTGATACTATCCCAGCCTTGCTGCGGGCCACAAATTTGTTAAAGCAGGATTTTGATGGCATCTCTGCTTCAGAGATATGTTATTTTGTTTTGTTTACTACTAGTCAATTTGCTTTTATTACTTATCTTTCAATTATTTTAAAAAAACTATAATAATAATAATATTCTAATATATTTGATTAATAATTTTATATTTTTTATTTAAAAAATATATATTGGCACATTTAATGACAAACTGTTTACTCCAACATATATATATATATATATATATATATATATATCTCAAAATTAGAGGGTTTTGAACAATATGTATGTAGCATCATTACATTTGTTCATATTCATTTCGTATTCCCATCCACCATGTCAGGGTGAGTAAATGAGTGAGAAGTTGGTTAATGATCGCAAATAAGCATGTAGAAATAAACCTGTAGAAATCAGTTCAATATTGATACAGATTTTGAAAAGTTCAGAAGAAATACTGCTACTATCAACAAAGGAAGAATAAAATCGGTCAGAAACATGTAACTGTGTCAACCCCAAGCAGTAAACAAACTGGATAGTCATTCTTTTTGTTGGGGAATGGCACATCAAGTTCTTGTGGTTGCATTTCCTTGTCTGAAAAAGAATTTAAGAAAAAAATATGAGTGGGTTATTCCATTGGGAAAGGGTGATAGAAACAACAAAAAGGACCAATGATTGGGCATGATCCTTCATTCCTCTCATAGTCACCCCCAATCCTTATCACACAAAAATTACCATGTCTGAAAAATGATCCTCACTTGTGATTTTTACCCATCATTTGAATCTTGTTTATTTTTATATTGTTTTTGTCTTCATCTGATGAACACTGGATTATGATTGTAAGTGATGTTGACCTTCAATTGAATTTTGCTGACCGTTTGGTGTAGACTTCAGTTTTCTTTTATATTTATATATACTCTATCTCTGATATTGAGCACTTTTACCATAAAAACTATACTATATATATATATGTATATATATATATATATATATATATATATATATATATATATATATATTGTTTGTTTTAGAAAAACATATGCTTAATTTTATGTAACTTTGAATGGATGTGTCGTCTCTCCTTGAATTCAGGACACCACAATATAATTTACTGATGCTGGGTTTTTTTTGGTTTTTTTCTTATTTGTTTTTAAGCATTTTTTTTTTTTTTTTTTTTTCAAAAAAAAATTATTTGGATTTAATGTAAGCTTCACCAAGCCTTCATATCCTGGGTGGGAACAGTCTAGGTCATTTAGAGGGCAAGAGGAGCAACAATTAGTGATAACAGGATGGAGGGAGGTATTATGTAGATTAATAGGAATACTATGAATATAGGTTTTAAAATTTTTCTATCTATATCCTATAATATTTGTTATATTTAGCATGTGTATGCAAATATTATCGGACAGAGGTTGTATAATAATAATAATAATAATAATGTATTACTTCTGTCCCATAATAGTTGTTACATTTAGCATATAAAACATTTATGTAAATGTACCAACTATTATGGGACAGAAGTTGTATAATAGTATAATATACTACCTCTGTCCCATAATTGTTGGTACATTTAGTATATAAAATGTGTGTGAGAATGTAATAAATATTATGGGACAGCAGTAGAATAATAATAATATAACATATTCTCTCTGTCCCATAATTTTAGTACATTTTATGTATGAAATGTGTATGCAAATGTAACATATTATGGGACAGAGGTTGTATCATAATATAATGAACTCCCTCTGTCCCATAATAGGTGGTACATTTCATTTATAAAATATGTATATAAATGTAACAAATATTATTTGACAAAGGTTGTATAATAATATAATGTGCTCCTTCTGTCCCATAATAGGTGGTACATTTTTATATAAAAAATATATGCAAATGTAATAAATATTATGGGACAGAGGTTGTATAATAATAATATAATGTGCTCCCTCTATCCCATAATAGTTGGTACATTTAGTGTATGAAATGTTTATGTAAATGTACTAAACATTATGGGACAGAATTAATATAAAATGAGCTTTTTACTTTATAAACATTTACTAAACATAGCTCATTTCAGTAAATGTAGACATTGTCATTGTCGTCAGCTTTATCTTGTATCAAAGAATTTAATTACTTCTTTGCTGATCGCCTCATTTATGTTGATGACTAAATTCACCATCAATGTGCAGGTTCAAGACTAGAAGCTTCCAGTTTCACTAAAACCTGCTCCCATCATCCATTCCCTATCGCTATTTAGCTTTGCAAGAGTTGATTGGAAGTGAAAGAAAATCCGCGAAGAAAGTGCCAATGGCGGGAATTTGTTTATGGTGGACATCAACTTGGCAGGAAGTGAGGTACGCACTTGATTTCATGACCTTCCACTGCAGCTCAAATGAAACATGCAGAATCCAGTTATGAAAATGCAACGGACTGCCACTGTTTCTGTTGTTATTTCAAGTGGCACATTCTGTAGCATGTCCGTCATATATAGCCCTCTTCATCCACTGGTTCAAACATTGATGTCTGTTATAATCATCATCATCCGTTTGTTCCAACATTGGGGTCTTTGGGGTTGGTCGTGCTTATCCTCATCTTCGACCTTGCTGCCAAGGGTGGCTCTGTCAGAGTAATTGGACCATATATATATATATATATATATATATATATATATATTAGAGAAATAAAAAGATAAGACCAACTTTACTTTTCATGATAAAAAAAGGGAAAAAACGAGAAAAAATAATGATAAACCATAAACACAGCCAACCGGTTTCCCCTTCAATCAACAGAGCTGGAATTTAGGGATTATATATTGCAATGAAAAAAGACACTAAATAATATGCAATATTAAAGGTGGAATACAATCTAAA